AAGGGGGGGGGGTCTCTGTGGTCGAATCGGTCTGGTGCAATGACCACAGAGTTCACACAAAATCGGAAAAAGACCTTACTAACTAAACACTCAAATCACAACTTAAAATACGTGACGACTTTGGTAACTGCAATGGTAACTGGTAACTCTCGAAGGCCGTGGTGGCCTCACACACCACCCAGTGGCTGGCGGACTTACGCAGAGGTGAAGGCGGACACTACCGAAGTGTTTCGACGATGACCAAAATATTGACTGGTCTCACACAATGGAGACACGACGAAAAGGTGACAAAACAAAAGGTGACACGTACTAATAATATTTAAATAACTCACGCAACGCAGATCTGGTTATGGTAATGTTTTGATTTATTTATTATGATTTTTCACTAATAATAATAATAATAATACTAATAAACGTCCGCATTAATTGCGCGGCGATAAAAGTTCGCGACAACCAGTGGCGCAAATAGGGGGGGGGCTTGGGGGTGCTTAGCCCCCCCAAAATCACTCAAAGCCCCCTCAAAAAATAATAATATAATATATATTAAATGTTATTGTTCTTAATAAGTCGTTTTTACCGGTTTTTTTAAAATTTTTTTACTTTTTTACTAAACATTTTTTCTTAACACTAATAAGAAAATTGCTTTTATAAAATAAAATAATATTACAATCGGGATTACAATAAACAATAATACTAATAGACAGAACTACAGAAGTTTTAATGTATTGTATAATAATGTCTAAATAATATTATATAGTTAGTACTAAATTACTTATTCCCCCACTAGCTACAGACCAATCAGTCTACTACCAACATTATCCAAACTGTACGAAAGAATATTGCTGAATAGGATAAAACCCTACCTTCACGTTATCCCGAAACATCAATTCGGATTTAAAACCAAACACTCCACATGCCACCAAATCCAACGCATATCCGAAATAATTGTACATGGTTTCGAAAAAAAACAATATACCACAGCAGCATTCTTAGACCTAACCCAAGCCTTTGATAAGGTCTGGCACAGTGGGCTTGAACAAAAATTAAAAATATTAAAATTCCCCGAATACCTACTCAAAACTATCAAATCCTTCATATCCAACAGATCTTTCAAAGTAAGAGTGGAAACAGACTTCTCACAACTACACCAAATCAAAGCTGGAGTCCCCCAAGGATCTGTTCTTGGACCAACCCTATTTAATATTTACTGCTACGACATCCCAATCCCTCTCAACTCTCAATTAGCAATGTTTGCGGACGACACGACAATTCTCACCCAAGACAGTTCCTTAGAGTTAGCAATTCAAAATCTACAATCCTCATTAAATGAAATAATCACCTGGTTCAAAAAATGGAAGTTGAATCTAAACCCAACTAAAAGTGAGGTTAAAATATTCACCCTTAAAAGATATACCAACCCCAAAAACATTTACATAAATAACCATGTCATTCAATGAAATAACAAAGACGACGCAGTCAAATACCTAGGTGTCCACCTAGATGAAAAACTTACTTGGAACATTCACATAAACAAAAAACTCGTACAGGGCTACACAAGGATGAGAATTCTTTACCCTCTAGTCAACTATAGATCAACGCTACAACTTAAGTCATCACTCCTCCTATATACCTCAATAATCAGACCACTTATAATGTATGCCTGCCCTGTCTGGGCAGCAGCCTCAAACACTAAAATTAAAAAAATCCAAACTCTCCAAAACAAATTCCTTAGAATTTGTCTTAAAGCACCTTGGTATATGAGGAATCGTCAAATATACAATGATACAGGAATATCCCCAATAAATATCTGGATTAAAACCCAACTAAAAAACTTCCCCACCAAACTGAAAGACTCGGACGGAGCCCGCCATTACCAACTAGGAAAGAAAACCCAAAATAGGCGACTGCGACCCCGACTACCTCAAGACATTCTCATATCAGACACCGAAGAGCCCTCATCAGAAGACGAAGAATAACCAACAAATAATGTCAAGCTTAACTATTGACTATTATCATTATAACTATATACCACCTATATACCATTGTAATCACTAACATAAATGTAAAATATTAAATTTCAACTGTTAATGTAATATAACGTACCGTACTTGTAATAGCACCTAAAATGCTGAAACATTTTAAAATAATAAATAAAAAAAAAAAAAAAAAATTACTTATTATTAAATAAAATATGAACGGTACAACGATAGTGACTGTGATGTTTGATAAATTAGTCACGTAGGCCAATGATTGGGAAAACCAAAAACATTTTTAAATAGCTCCAAACGAATATTATACTGGTTTGTTCGTGTATCATGTTCATACTTATTAGTGATTACCGGCACAGTCGGCACACAGACAGTTAAATTGACCATTTCACATTTCAATCTAACCATTTCACCTTTCAGTATTTCACAAAAGCACGTTTAAAATTTATAAACAAATTAATTACAATAATTTAAACAAATAATTGTTGTTTCAAACGAATTACTTATATTAGTTATAATCGTATATAAATTTAAATTCGTTAAAAAAATAAAATGTTTAGTATTTTTAATAAAAAAAAAAGCTCTGATGATGATCAACTAAATGTGCCGGAATATACGCCTACGCCTTCGTCTGCAGTAAATACTGAAAGTATAATTGCAGAAGAAAATGAATTAAATGATATTGATAATGAACTTGATTTGGGTAATTTAAATTCAGGATCGCGTCAGCCAATATTAAAGGTAAGTAGATTTTTAATTGAAATGTATATTAATATAATATAAATAATATTTTCAAAAATGTTTAAAAAGGAGTATCCTAAGACAAAATTTGGAAGTCAAAATCGAGGATTTACACCTTCTTACTTTAGTGAGTTTAATTGGCTTGAATATAGTGTTAGAAAAGATAGCGTGTTTTGTTTTCCATGCCGTATTTTTGGAACTGCTCATCTAACGGAAAATACATTTACTGTAATAGGATTTAAGAACTGGAAAAAAGTAAGTTTCACAACTATTCTTATTAAGATTCTAATTAGTCTAAAGTTGAAGTACCTATGTATTTAAAACATAAAAAATAACTTTTTTTTGTTTTTCTCGCCGCATTTGAATGTTTTTGGGAATTTTCACTTTTCACCTCTTCAAGGTACCTCCGATATCAGACTTGCTACCGAAAACACATCATGGGGTTCAAAATTGAAGAATTATTTTGAATAGTTATAGTGTACACAGGCACAAAAAAAAAAAAAACTCATCATAGTAAAATCAATACATTCTTCACTTTGTCCAGAATCTAAAATAAAATGAAAACTTAATTATGTACCTACTATGTAAAATTATAGGCATAATTTTATTATAATAATTTCTATATATTTAACACAATATTTTATCTTATCGTCTATAGCTTTGTGGATCAAGAGATTCAAAGACCAAAAAATCAAAACTAAGTTTGCACGCTTCAACAATTAATCACATTAATTGTATGTCAAGATGGTTAGAATATAAAAATTCTTTAAAACAAGGTAGTATCATCTCCAAATTATCAACAGCCTAAAAGGAGCACATTGACAAAAATCGGCAGTATATTAAATGTTTAATTGACATTGTTATATTTCTTGGGCGGCAGGGACTTCCATTTAGGGGTCATCGTGAAAATGAAGATGCTTTAAATAAAGGTAAGGATAAATAAATAATATTCTTCGTGATTTTAATGATTTGTGTTCCTTTAAAAATTAAGTATAATATTTTAATTTCTTATTTAAGGTAATTTTAAAGAGCTGTGCATGTTGTTTTCAAAACATCATATTGAGTTTGAGAAAAAATATATTTTCAACTCAACTAACCATACTAGCTGGGCCATTCAAAATGATTTAATAAATATTTGTACTTCATATGTGAGAGATAATATTGTTTCTGAAGTTAAAAAGTGTGGCATGTTTTCCATTTCATGTGATGAATCCAGGTAAGTAAAAATAAATATTTTTAAGAATGATGCTTAGTTATTTTGTAACAGTTCAAAATAATAAATAGCAATGTGTTTGAATACAGATCTCATAAAGAAGAGCAAATGTCCATCTGTATCCGTTATACAAACAATTTAGAGGTGAAAGAACGTTTTTTAGGATTTGTTGATGTATCATATAGACAAAATGCTGATGCATTATATTCATCTATTATCGACTTTTTACGTTTTTGTAATTTATCTGATATTCCAATTGTTGGCCAGTCTTTTGACGGAGCAAATGTAATGTCTGGTCAGAAAGGAGGTGTCCAAACTAAACTTAAGCAAATTTATCCATATGCTATATACATTCATTGTATGGCACACAAATTAAATTTAGTGATTGTGGACACATGCAAATATTTGAAGGTAATCCAATTATTTATTATTTCTTTGAATAATATTTTATTACTTAGTACCAATTAATAATTTATAATAATTAAAATCGTATTTTGTTTAATTAGTATCTTAGAAAATTATTTAATGGACTAGAAGCGATATACGTACATTTCTCATATCCTTCAAAAAATAAAAAATTCAATGAAATTCAAAATCTACTTGGGTTGAAAAAAAAATCATTAGTTCAGTTAAGTGAAACAAGATAGGCCTGTCGTTTTAAAAGTTGCAGCTCAGTCATACAAAATTATGGTGTATTAATTCAGTCTTTAAAAGAGGAAATTGATGCTCAAAAAAATAAAGATGTCGCTGAAGCAATTGGTATGATTTATGTAGATTCATATAATTTAATGGCAACTATATTTTATTTTATTATTCAGTGAAAAATATTGAATTTAAATTGTTTTGTTTTAGGTATTATTTCAACAATTAAGTCTGTTGATTTTGTAATATATTTATTCATATTAAAGGAAGTCTTACAAATTATTCATATACTATCAAATCATCTACAATCAAAATCAGCAACCCTGGGTAATTCTAAATCTTTAATAACTGGAGTAATTACAACTTTACAAGAACATCGTGATTCTGAACAACATTATAATACACTTTGGAATGAAATGCTTGAATTTAGCATTAAACATGACATTTCTCTTGAAATTCCTTTGCAATGTAAGAAAAAATATAAAAATACTGAATTTGTAATTTATAATTATTTATTTATTTGGTTATAGCAAATAAATAAATAATTATAAAAAGAAAAGAAAAGATTACGAAAAGAGCCATCTCAACTCAAAGATTTTGTTTGTTTGTCAACAACTAGTGCTAGTGATGATCATACTGCAGATATTGTAGAAACAAAAAAAAAATATTGGAAAAAAAAAGCTTATTATAGTGTATTAGATACAATGATAAATATTTTAAAAACAAGATTTTCTGAAGAAAGCCTTCAAGTAGCCTCATCAGTAGATAATTTACTAAAATTGAAATTTGAAAGTTCTTCATTTTTAATTGATCATTACAAGGTACATGTAAAATACATTATTATTTTTCAAGCATTTAACTAATGTTTAATATTTGTTTAGGATTTATTTGGAATTTGTAATCAGTCACTGATGTCTGAAATGTCTGTTTTAAAAAACATTCTGGGTGAAAACTCTAGTTTAGAGGAAATAAAACAACATTTGATATTATATGATGGTAAAGTATTTCCAAATTTTTGTAAGATGTTTCAAGTAGCTATTACTCTTCCCGTAAGTACAGCGATCTGTGAGAGATCATTTTCTACTATGCGGCGTATTAAAACATGGTTGCGTACTTGTATGAATCAAGATAGGTTCAGCAATTTAAGTATTATGAATATAGAAAAAGACATTCCTATCAATAATGAAGACATATTAACTATTTTTGAAAAAACCGAGAGACGGATACAATTACATTAAATATCTATTTGATGATATTTAATGTTATATACCTATTATTATATATATATTTACATAAATGTACTATGTATAATACATATTTTAAAATTCAATAAATACAGATACCATTCTTAAAACTATGTACCTATAAATTATAATTTAAAAAAAAATGTGTTGGGGCTTGAGCCCCCCCTAAACATTTTTCCTATTTGCGCCACTGGCGACAACGAAGATTTAGTAGGTATATAAAAAGCGGTGTTGCCTAAATGACGTACGACAAATGAAATAATAAAAAAACTATATATGTTTTGTGTCCTAAATGAACGACAAAAATATCGACAAAAAAACAATGTGTTGCCTTAGTGGCGAACAGCGAACGACAGACAGAAGAAAAAATAGTAATAAATATAAAATACGTAATATAATAAAGGGCGTTGGCCGTTATGTAATAAGTAGAATAATTCACTAATCTGCATAATTCATTAACAAAGATAATACAAAATTAACGAGAGATAATAATAATAAATAAATAAGACAATAATCAACGAACACATACTAATTAAAATTCACACAGACGGAAGATTAGGAAGGAAGAAACAGATAAGGAAAAACGAGTCGCAGCGTTGTCGTGCACAATTGATTATCGCTCGACTCTGTACCGGTTGCCGGCTACATCCATCGGCGTAAACAGATGTCTTTCTGTAATAGTTATTTTTAATGTCACACTTTGAAATGTAGCCACACGATTCATATATTATGTGTGCTTGTGTTACCCTCTAATTAAATTAAAATTCCTTTCTATTCATACGAATACGAATATTATATTAATAATAATCATTTCCCGATTTCTATTATTTATGATTTATGTGGTCCCGCTTGTACTGTAAGAGTCGTAAGGACCTACATTCATGTATGTCCGCAACAACATCAATACAAATGGTAAGTTTAATTACAATTCATACATATTATTCTAATAAATACATGGTGTATATGTATTGCATCACTATTAAACATTTTTTTTAGTAGTGGTTTTACATTTTGATAGATATTATATAAGAAGAGATCTAAAATGATCATATAAAAATATATAGGTATTATTCAAAAACTCTTTAGCTTTTCAATGACATAATTTTTAACTGCGTCGAGTTGCGTCTGTGATTAGCATATCTGTTATTTTTCTTTAAATTTTGTTTGTTTAGCAATTATTATTTTCACATTTCAGTTATTGATGAAAATAAAAAAAATCGTATACAATGATTTGTTTGTATTCTTAAGAACAAAGGGGCCTTTGAATCCAAGAAGTGTGGTATCTAACCGATATTTACTACAATATATTAAACAAAATTAAATCAATAATTTCTAATTTCACAACCGTTTTAAGCAAACTTTGGATAAAAAGTTCACGAAATATAATTAGATTAAAGGAATCAAATGTTGATTGGCTAAAAAAACTATTTGTATTACCTCCTCGATCACCACCATCATCATTAAAAGTCGGCAGACCTCAAAAATTGTTTTCTGATTGTTCTGATCGAAATAAAAGACGTAAAATTCAACAACTCACGAAATCGTATACTTCTCCAGAAATATTATTTGCCGCCAAAAACAAATTACACATGTCAGGAAAAAGAGCAGCTTGTAGTATAGTCAACGAATCACTGTCCTCTCCAACTCGAGCATCAAAAATTAAAAAATCATACATGGCTTCACTATCAATTGATGATGCCATCATGCCATATTCTTTTGACGAAGCATTGGCATTTTTTATTGAAAACAAACTTACAAAACAACAATATATAAATATTCGGAAATCTGCTAAGGAACGTAGAGCAAATATATACCAGAGTTATGATACTGTTTTAACAGCAAAAAAAAAATGCTATCCGGAAAATATTCATGTTACAGAATCTTATTTTAAAATTGAATTACAACACCTCCTTGATCATACAATAACAAGATTATTTTTAATTTCTGATATACCATCTGTAGATTTAACGATGAACAACTTTGAATTATTATGTAAATGGGGATGTGATGGAAGCAGTAGTCAAGCTCGTTACAAGCAAATTACGTCTAGTAATTTCAATGATTCCGATATTTTTATGTTTTCACTAGTGCCATTACAGCTAAGGTGTACAAAGATTAACAATCCTAAAACGATATTGTTATGGAAAAATCCTCGTCCATCTTCAACTCGTTACGGTCGTCCAATAAAATTTGAATATAAAAAGAAAACTATTGAGTCGACATTAGAAGAGGTAAATGCTGTCGAAGAAGAAATTAAGTCATTGATTCCAACTTTAGTTTTTAAAAATAATATTGAAATTCGTGTTAAAAGCACATTAATGTTCACTATGGTAGACGGAAAAGTAAGTTTCACAAAGTTTTATCACAATTATTAAATATAATATTTTAAATTTCAAATAAGTCAATGAATAAAGATGCAATATTACCAAAATGAAAAATTTATTTTTAAACTTAATTTTAGATTTGCAATACAATGACTGGTTCATCAAGCCAAAAGTGCTATATTTGTAAGTGTTCTCCAAAATACATGAATGATATAACCAGGGCGAAAAATTTAAGTGTACAGCCTGAGCATTTAAAATTTGGACTCTCAACGCTTCATGCGTACATACGATTTTTTGAATGCTTAATACAGATTTCATATAGATTGGAGTTCAAAAAATGGCAGATTAGTACAATAAGTAATGACTTTTTACTATAATTTATAAATAATATGTTCAATAACTTCCAACTTTCTTATTTGTTGATACAGGTTCGGACATCTGATGATAAAGTTATTTTTGAAAAAAGAAAAAAATACATTCAAGATCGATTTCGAACGTAACCACCGTTACCTATCTAGGCATCACGTTAGACACAAAACTACGTTGGAAACCTCACATCTCTTCGCTTTCTACAATCACATCCCGTTGGGCTAATTTTCTCAGGACTATATCTAGCACGTGGTGGGGTTCTCATCCTACCTGTTTGTTATCCATCTATCGCTCTATCATTCGTTCTAAATTAGACTATGGTTGCTTTCTCTTCAATTCGGCTACTCACTCCAACTGGAAAAAAATAAATACACTCCAAACGTCTTGTCTTAGAACTACAAGGTGCGGCAGAAAGAACTCCCTAGTTTGATAAGGCCTTAGTTTGGGCTTGGGTGGAGGTACATTAGTGATATTTATATAGATAGAAAGCCTTATCGATGCCGTTTTTATTATTTATCATGGCTTGGTCGGGAGAGCATCGTGCGTTTGTTGTCGAAGAATTTATTAATAATGGCGGTTCACCTATAACGACCCAGCGTGCGTTTCGTATTCGGTTCGCGCTCAATCGCCATGATCCCGTTCCCGATAGCAAAACAATACACAATTGGGTAAAAAGTTTTAGGCAAACAAGTTCTGCACTAAAAAGAAAGTCGACGGGCCGACCTCGGACTGCAACAGGACTGGAAAATGTTGCTGCTGTGAGAACTTCAATCGAACAATCTCCGCGGCGTTCTGCAAGGAAACACGCGGCTGCTTTACACTTATCCGATCGCAGTGTCCGGAGAATTCTGCATCAAAAACTTAAAATGCACCCCTACAAAATTATGGTCACTCAAAAACTTTTCCCGAGAGATTTTGAAACCTGTACAACATTGTGTCGGGATCTTCTTCGGAATATTCCCCGAACAGATGTATTGCTTTTTACGGACGAGGCACATTTTCACCTTTCAGGTACGGTAAATAAACAAAACTTTCGATATTGGTCCAAACACAATCCTCAAGAACTTCACCAGCAACCACTCTATAGTCCAAAGGTTACTGTTTGGTGTGCCATTTTCGCATCCGGTGTGTGGAGTCCATACTTCTTTGAAGAAGATGGTGCTACTGTAACAGTGACCTCTAATCGCTATTGTAATATGCTTGAACATTTTCTTTGGCTAAAATTGAACGACTTTTTTCATGAGTATGGATAACAAAATGTATGGTTTCATCAAGATGGTGCAACAGCGTACACAGCTCATCGTTCACTCAGCATTCTGCGAGAAATGTTTCCTGGGCATATCGTCTCATTGCAAGGTGACAATAGATGGCCGCCACGTTCACCAGATTTGAACCCATGTGATTTTTTTCTCTGGGGATATCTAAAAGCCCAAGTGTACCAACATCGTCCACAAACTTTGGAAGCTCTGAAGGAAGTAATAACCCAGGAAATTTCTGCTATCCCGCCCGAAATGACCCGTAGAGTTATAGAAAATTACCGAGAAAGGCTCAATCAGTGTATCCAAAATGAGGGCGGCCATTTAAATGATATTATTTTTAAAAATAATTAATAAAAAATGGCATTATATGTACGATTTATAAATGCATTTTTTTTTTTTGATATTTGACTTTGTTTAGTTTTTATTAGTTTTCTTAATCAAGAAGTTTTTTTTGCCGCACCCTGTATAACACAAAATAATGTAATTTTATAGTACAACAAATTAGATACAACACATTTTGATACGGCTGACGGGGGGGGGGGCTACCCCCCCCTGGATCCGCACCTGCAATAGTGTACCAATAGTGAAATACAGTGCACCTAAATCTATGAATATTATATGTCATAGACTTATAACATAATATAGTTATACATCATAAATCATTACATTATGTAATTATAAATTGACATTTTGTACAACTTGAATATTATAATGTAAGGGGATATTTTGATCGGCGTCGATGGCCAAAAAAAATAAAAACAAGATCGTTTGAAAATACAACACTTTTATTAACTTTTTTGGCATCCCCGCGAGTACACAGCAACGGAGGTCGCCTCGTCGGAAAGCGTACTAATGTACAACTCGCTGGGCACGGGCGAATACCGGTCGTACTCGATCTTATCGATCGATAAGATCGATTGTCAGAAAACTTGTGACGATAAATATAATATACATCTTACAGTTCGGCCATCTTGACCTTTGTTCGTCTCGAACAATTTTTCTTTCTTAGTGACTTAAATTTAAACAATAATAATGACAATATTAACATCACAAAAATAACTGAAGAAAATGTATACATAAAAGGGAAAAGGGAAAAAAAAATATATATATATATATATATATATATATATATGAACAAACAAATAAACATATTAATATGCGACGTATCACGGAATACTATACAATGTTAAAATTGCATCAACTATAAATTAATAAATATTTAAAAATTATCTTATAAAATTATTCATATGATATGAAGTTTACATGCACATAGAATATAAATATAATAATCATGATAACTCGACTGGCATCTATACTTGTGGTGAATGTAAAAATGTGCCTAACAACGTAATAACCAGGGCTGTGAATTTAATGCACCAAAAAACTATTAAATATGCACTAAAAATGTCAAAATGTGCATGAAAATATGCACTAAAAAATATCAAAATATGCACTAAAAATATCAAAACATGCATAAAAATATGCTATTAAAATTTCGTAAAATATGTACTAATTTTTCAAAAATATACAAAAAAAAACAAAAATTATTTTTTTAAATACTAAATATAATTGTTAAAAATGTATGGGTATTACATGTTTATATAAATTTAAATTGATTGCGATCTTCATCATCGTCATTTACGGCATCTATATAAAAAAAAAAAATATATAAATATAAATATAAATTTATTATTTATTATTTTACCTCTAAAGTAATTATTGCATTGTACGATTAATGATTTTTTGAGATTTTCAAACTTGAAAGACCTCCTGTTTGGTGCCAATATATTCTTATATAAAGAAAACGATCGTTCTACATCTGCGGATGTTATTGGTGCAAACTTAAAATACGCCATGTCGCTACTGGTTAAATCTTCTGGTATATCCAAATCACCTACATTCTCTTCTTCGCCAGTTAATATTTTTGAAATATTACAAAAAATTTGAAATCCTTTGTTTTTGTTGAGAACTGTTTGTAATTTTTTATTAATATCAATTCCAGCGGTACCTGTTAATTGACTAAACTTTGATGAAATATCTTGTATGATTGCAATACCTTCAGATAAGAGTATACCTTGTTTTTGTAGACGCGTTATAGCTATGGGAAGACATGCAAAATTCGAATGTATAAAAGTCAAGTTTCCTTTCATTTGAGGAATTTTAAAATATTTTTGAGCATTTTTTATGGAAAGCGCATCATTCTCATCAAAACTTTCAATTATGTTTTTTACAGTTTGAAAGTTTTCGCTATAATATAATAAGGCAGAAATCTACGTACCCCAACGTGTCAGAATAGGTTCAGGAGGTAGTGATATATTTGGTGCATCAGTATGAAATTTTTGAACATGATAATGCGCCTTTTTGAATACTCGTTTAACATTTGCTACCAGTTTATCAACTTTTGGAAATTGAATACGTATTTGTTCAGCGACTCTATGTAATTCATGGGAAGTACAAGTTACGTGAACCATTTTTGGATACAACACTTTTAATGTATCACCAGCCTTCACCATATAAGGCGCAGCATTACTTAAAAACAGCAATACATCGTTTCGTCTTATTCCGTCAGGCCATAATAAATAAAGTGAATTTTCAAATAGGGAACATATTGTACTATGATTTGTTTTCTGTAATTATTCGAGGTTAAATAAAAAAAATTCACCTGGACGATCGAGGAGTAATGTACCGATAATAACTGAAGCAATAAAGCGGCCCTCGGCATCTGTTGTCTCATCTATTGAGACCCAAATTTTCTTTCCCGCTACTTTTTGTCTTATTTCGTTTAAAACTTCCTGGTAACAATGGTCAACATTAACTTTGCGTTATGTTGTTTGATCTGGAATATTTTGTCCAGTATATTTTATCAAAAATTGTTTGAAATATGTATTACTTAATTTAATGGGATGTTAGCACTAAGCATGGCTTTACATAAATCATTATTAAATGATGATTTAGATGACGAATCTTTTGAGATAAGTTGCTGAGTTTTTTTTTTGTTTTCTGTACGATTAACTCCTCTATGGTGTTATTCAGTGGCTATGTGTTGTGTTACAGAAAAACGTTTATCACTCGCAATTTTAATATTGCATACTGTACAAAATAAAATTTTACTGTCTGTTGTAAATATATTTCCAAATTCAGAAACGTAGTTTCTTAAACGGGTTGCAACCGATATTTTTTCTTTTGGCATTTTAAAATATACAGTACAACCAGAAATATAAATAAGGAGCTTTTAGGTACTGATTAGGCAATAAAATAATAAAATAAACAAAACAAAACTATAACACTCGAATTACGAACACACGCACATCACGGATCGGCGATCGTATCGAACTAATAGAAATAGGTATTATTTTTACAATTGTCCATCAGGCATCAAGTGCAATTTAATACAGGTAAATATTATTTTCCATTTATTTATATTTATAGACCACAACAATACAATAATAATACAGGTCTTGGACAATATTCGGCAAAATAAGAAAACAACTATTTATACCCGAATTTACGTGTAGTCAACCCAACTAAAAATAGAATAAAATGTTCAAAAATAATAAAATTTCTATTTTATATTTTAGACCAAATTGACCGAAAAAGTATAAATATTAAGAAAAAAGCATTAATACGAAAAAAGTATAAAAACATGCATTTATATGCCCTAACTAGTTAAATATGCAAAAATATGCACTATAAGATTTCGTATTTTAATTATAAGTAACACAATTCAAATTTTGGCCGAATCCATTTTCTTTTATGATGTAGCAAAAAAAACATGCAAATGCATTAAATTCACAGCCCTGGTAATAACCAATTTATTTCAAACACGGATCCACATTTGCATGTGGTCCGGTCCAATAATACCTTCGTACGGGCGTTGAGTTAATTGGAAAACCTCTATATCACCCACTATGTATCTATCCTGGTGTAACACCTTTACTACATACGGTCCTCGGAATTTCGATATTAACTTTTTATTTTGTCCCACCGAAACATTCACATTTTTATCATCCCATAGTCGTTTTCCTTATAAATCGTCGGTTCCTTACGTTTTGAATTATACTGTCTTTCATTCGATTCTTGGGATCTAATTATCCTTTCCGCAGCCTTAGCTCTCAAAATCTCCAATTCTCGCGGATTATCGGTCACGTAATTTTCTAATATTCTCCGTATCTCGTCATTTATTTCGCTTACTTGGTGTACACCAAATAATAACATACTAGGGCTTTGACCTGTAGAGCCGTATACGGTGTTATTAATAGCAAATTCTACCTTTTGTAACGCTCGATCACACTTATTCGTCAACTCCGTCAATTTAGCCAGCATTGGCACTATAGACTTATTCACTATTTCTACTTGGCCGTTGGCTCTAGGCGTGCCTGATGCGATCAAAGTCAAATTCACTGATTCGATTTTTAAAAATTCTTTAAAATTAACAGCCGTAAAAGATGTACCCCTATCTCTAATTATCTGACAAGGTTTTGAATAGGTTTGGAAATAATTTGACAAATGTTTAATCATTCATCGGATTTGGTACTACGACACAGGTAAAGCCGTACGAATTTACTGAACGCATCGATTACCACGAAAATGAATTTATTTTTATAACTTATTTTCTCTAACGGGCCTAAATGGTCTACGTGTAAGGTAACAAATGGTTTATCTCCCTTCGGGATACTGAAAAGAAAACCTTCTTTACTTCCACTAGGTTTAGAAAACTCAATACATTTTAAACAATTATCTATATAACGTCGCACTTTATTTTTCATGTCGGGAAACCAATAATACACACGAAATATGTTCTCAATAACTTTTATCAAACCTACGTGGGCCATATCGTCATGGCACGTACGTATCATATTATTCTCCATTGATTTCGGGACATAAAATCTAATGCGCTTGTTTTCTTTGCGATAAACTAATCCATTACGTAATTCAAAAAATTTGTTATCGCTCATTAGCAATTTATTTTTAATATGTACAATATCGTCATCCGTACTTTGTCGAACGGCTAGTATTTGTTTAAACGTATTCGATTCCAACACGAGAGTCACATGACAACGGCTAAATGCATCGACGTGTTGCATGTTTTTATTAGGGCGGTGGAGAATACTGAAATTGTAATTTTGTAAAAATAGAGCCCACCTGGAAATTCGAGTATTCACGTCCTGTTTATTTAATGTTAGCCTGAAACTATCGCAATCCGTCATTATTTTAAAAGATATGCCATATAGATATATATGAAAACGTTTTATCGCATACGCGACCGCCAAGCATTCTAGTTCGAAACTATGGTGTTTCGATTCAACCGGAGATGTGCGCTGACTAAAGTAAAACTCGGGATTAAATTTATTGTCAGCTTGTTTCTGAAATAATATTATGCCAAAACCGGACGAACTCGCATCGCAACTCTGTTTCCGCTGTGGGGGAATATATAGCTAATATAGGTGTCTTTGTTAACACTGAACTTAAGTAACTGAACGCTTCCTGTTCTTGCTCCCCGAAAATAAAATCGACGTTTTTTTTTCACAAGGTCATATAATGGTTTAGCTATTACCGAAAAATTACAAATAAAACGTCGAAAATAATTAGCTAGTCCTAAAAACTGTCTGACCTGTTTTTGGTTCTTCAGAACCGGGTAATTAAGCATCGCTTCTACATGTTTGGTACTAACTTGTATACTATGCTCATTCACTATATACCCGAGATACTCCACTTCACCATATCCAAAAGAACATTTATCGAAATTAAATCGTAACTTATGTTTTGCCGATAAACGGAATACTTCAGTTAATATTTTAAAATGTTCTGGAAAAGTTTGTGTTGCTATTAACATGTCATCTAAATACACAAGTAAGTCTCCCGGGGAAATTAAATCATGAAATATAAATTGAATGTACCGATTAAAAATTCGTGATGAATTTGACAACCCAAACGGCATTCTCATTCTCATATTCGTATTGCCCTATGGGTGTGATAAAAGATGTATATGGAATAGAAGATTCGTATATGCGTATATGATGAAATCCGTTTTTCAAATCTAACGAAGTAAATATTTTTTTTCCTTTTAATCGGTCTAATTGATCATTTATCAACGGCGCCGGGAAATTGTCCTTAACGGTAATTTTGTTAAGTTCTCGGTAATCCACGCACAGCCTAAAACATTTATTCTTTTTCTTCACTAGCACAATCGGACTACTATAGGGACTATTACTTGGTCTTATTATATTTTCGGATAACAACTCGTCAATAATATTGCGCAAACTACCTTGCTCGCTATATGATAACCTTCTCGGCCTAAAAGATATGGGTTGTTCGTGTTTCAACACTATTTTCATTTCAAAATTACAATTATCATCGCTCTGTGGTTTTGCATTTATTCGCTCTAGATATTCAACATTATAAATTTTAATAAATTCATTATTCACATTGCAGTCTAAATCGGGATTTACGTTCACTGTATTTTCACGCACGTTTACGTCCGAGTTAAAATCAATACATAATATTTCGTTCCAATTATCAACTGTCTCTTCACGGTGTCATTATCATTCACCTTAATTATGTTTACCTCATTATTTATAAACTGGATTTTGTATCCCGGTCTTGTTAAAAGGTCTCTACTTAAAATCGCATTTGCGTTCATAGTATTGTTTGATACAATATAAAATGTAATACTCATCATATTTTTATTTACCAATAATTTTGTTAAAAAAATACCTAATACATCGACTTTTGTGCCATTAATTCCCGAAAAATTACAATTGTCTGCCGATTTAAGTACAACATTATTATTCGGGACAAACTCGCTTTTAAGCAAACTTACCGGGCTTCCTGTGTCGACCACCGCATTGAACCGGACATGACACTCCTCCTCTTCATCCACTGGTACATTGAATTCGCACTGAACTTCATACGGCATTGGGGGGTACTCGCCTGTTGGTCCACTGTCACTCTTCACGTCAATATTCATCAGACCCGCCGACTTCGGTTTTCCGTCCTCACCGAATCGTTTTTTACGTGTTTGACAAGTTTCTATTTGATGATCCGTCGCCCCGCATTCGTAGCACGCTCCTTTATCCCTTTTCGGCTTCAGACACTGCGGCGAAATGTGATCTTTCGACCTACAGTTATAACACGAGCGTCCGGTTATGCTCCGTTGTCATAGTTCTTGTCTGATCCTTCTTCGGTGCGGCTACCACAGTTGAACGGGTTGT